AAATGTCCATTTAATTTAAACTATTAAAATAAATTATTTAAATAACAACAACAAAATTTTTATTTTAAATTAATTTTTTTTAATAGTATTATTATTTATTTATCTTTTATATTTTATTCAAATATTATTCAACAAATAATAAATTATGTTTGGTTTGTATATTAAACTATTATATTAGAATTTCATCAATAGTTTTGAATTACATTAATTAATTAATTAATTGGATATTTTTAAACAATACAATATTCAGTGTCCAAACCAAACAACAAAAAATAAACTTTTCATTTAAAATTACAATCGATTTGTTATTATTATAATTATTATTATCACATAATTAATAGATAAATCATATCTGCTGTTTAGTCTAACATAAGTCTAAATAAATTTTAATTAATTAATTAATTAATTGATAAAAAAATATTACTAAATAATAAATATAATTACCGGTATATATATATATATATATATTATAATAACATATAATAACAAAACTAATTATATATAATATTATTACATTAATATAACATGTTTTTAGACACCAAAAAAAACTAAAATAAAATTTATATATATTTTTTTTGGGGTTACTTTTGAAGACTAATTACAACAAATGTAGTCATATTAGTGTTTAATACAATACGCGGACACTTTCTATACTGTTGTTGTTGTCGTCTATTATTATTAACATATCTTTTATTATTATTATTATTATTATTAATTTTCATATTATTAGTTTTGTTGTTAACTATAGTATCATCAATCGATGGCCAATAATTAAAACCGTACTGTCCGTAACCGGATATACCGATAACTTGACAATTGTTGCCAAAAACCGATTGAAATAATTGTAGCTTCAAATAGGCATCGGCTTTGTCCTCATCGGTAAACATAAAGGCTATTAACTCTGAAAACTTTGAAAGATTTTGGTTTTTGGTTTTATTGTTATTATTATTGTTGTTGACATTGATATCAAATCCAAGACTATTCTTGAATTTACGGATTTTCGCCTCAGTTTTCGTCAAACGTTTTGTATTCAACAATAGACTACTGGCCCGTACTTGTTGTCCACTAAAACACAGTCCGATCAGTTCACGGGTAACCAAATCTGATTCATGTAAACCACTACTAGTACTACTACTGTCACCAATTTGTTCCTCATTATTGTTATTATTATTATTATTATCTTTAATAAAATTGTTGTCATTATTATCGACCAAATAGTTTAAAAAATCTTTTCTATTAAAACTAAAATACGCTGAATTATAGCCACCGAAAGCTATCCGACCGTTCAGTGTTGTCGTTATAAACTTCGACAACGTATTGATCTCTCGAAACAGTTGTCGATTGTCTTGAAATATCGATGAAGTGGTAAACAATAGAATCGATTTGATATCCGATTTGGTAAACAATTTGTCCGGCATATCGGCACCAGTGAAGACAGTTATGTCGATTCCCGATCTGTATTTCGGTAGCAAAAGCATCGAAACGGCAGCCAAATCGCCGAAATGCGATATCTTGTGAATGGGAACCGACGATGTCGTTGGCCGACCAATCAGACACTGACTGTTCAGATTCAATATATTACAGCCGTTGGGCGGCAGATATCGGCGTACAATATCCGTATGATACAGACGTTGACTCATTTTGACATCTTCGCCAAGACTGCCGTAAACCAGTAGACACAGTTCGGGTATCGAATACAGGCCGTCGGTAATCCGTTTGATAACATTGGCTTTGAAATCATATTTCAGACTCCAGTCCACTCGGGAACAGTAGTCCAGTTCATCGTCGGCAGAGCTATTGGTATCGACCGATACGGCCAACGATGTCTGGCCAGTTGTCGTTGGTTGTTCCGCACGAATCAGATGATAGATAAACAGCGACCGACTTCGGGCGGCCAATACTCGATAGGCTTCGGCCAACCATTTATGACAAACCAGACAACATCGGGACAGCTCTTTCACTGACATATTAGCGAAAACTTTGTCAAGTATTAGGTCGTTGTTGAAGACCTGTTCCGATAGTCTCAGCAAATACTGGTCGTCATCGTTGTCGTCGTCGTCGTTGTCATCATTACTACTTGAGATAATATCTTGAGATCTGTTTGTTTTTAATATATATTTATTATTATATTATTTGATAACTAAATTGACTTTGAAATTGATCCATACATTTGATAATCCATTGTCATTATCGCCGGCAACTCGTCCTCGACTACCATTACCTCCTCCTCGGCCATTGTTTTTGAATATATGTGAAATTAGATGATAATTAGACAATTGGATCAATCAATTATCACCGCCGCCGACGACGACGATATTAATGATAATTATTATAGCCATTGATGTTGTAATCAATTGACTGATCAGTCAATCAATTGAAGACAACAACAACAGTGACGACAACACGTGTTGTTTAATGTGTTTTGACTATACATTTGTGTTAATAATAATAATAATAATAATGTCTTTATTTAATATACTGTTAATGTATTGAAATTAATTTTGATTTTTTTTCAATAACATTATAATTAATAGTTGTTTTTTTTTAGACATAAAAACTACACATTATTTTATTAATAAATTAATTATTGTTTGTTTGAATAACGATTTAATTCTGTATTATTATATAATAGGATATATGTATCGCTTTCTCTCTCTCTCTCTCTCTCTCTCTCTCTCTCTCTCTCTCTCTCACTCACTGTAGGCCCTACAGTGTAGGGCTTATGTATGTTATAGACTGTAACTTATAGTACAGTACATCAATACACAATATATACTGTATATATGGTATATATCTATTGGTTTGAACAAAATAGATGGCAATACACACACATATAATAATAGACATACAGTAGTGTTTAAAAAAAAAATTATAAATTTTAATTACTATTTATTAATTTAGAAACAAATAAAACAAAAATTTATATTATTTATAATTTTTATAATTTAATTATTTAATCCAATCAATTGGCTATCGACTCTCTCTCTCTCTCTCTCTCTCTCTCTCTCTCTCTCTCTGGTATATCTATAATATACAGTAGTTTTAAGTATAGGTATGGGTGGTGGTGCACATGTAGGTATGAATTTATTTTAATTACCGGTAATATAAAAAAATGTTTTTTGGGTGTCTCTCACTAAACCTTTTTTTTAATATAAAAATTTATTTAAATGGTTGAACACCTCCTCCTCCTCCTCTTTGATGGTCATACCGTAATATAAGGCATATATAAGTTGGGAACAGTTACCTAAACACCAGTGCTTAACGATTTTTTTTGGACATAAAAATTCACAACAAGTGTTGTGGACAGTCATCCGATTTGATTGAATTGATTGATTAGTTGGCAAACAATTATTTTGGTCCTAAAAAAATCATATATATATTACTATACCTTATATAACACACACACATACAAGTGATGTCACAATTGTTTAGTCAATGAAAAACAAATAATTATAATTATAATTGAATTTAAAAACAATTGATTCAATCAATTACCATATAATCACATACTGTTTGTGTGCTGTAATTAATTAGAAATTATTTAAAAAAATTAAAAACAAATTTTCAAAAAAAAAATATTAGAAATAATATCAATAATAAAATAAATAAATAATAAAACACAAAATTAAATGCTTAATAATTATATATAATTTTTAATCTAAAATTTTTTTTTAAATTAATTAAAAGATCAATTATTATTATATTGTTTTTTTTTGTAAATTTTTTTTCTCTCTATCAATGCAAATGAAAAGTGATTAATAATAATAATATTTACGTTATATTTATAGGGACTAAAAGTGTACATAATGTGTGTGTGTTTTGTTTGTTTGTATAATTTATATTTATATATTTATAATTATATGTATATATATATATAATAAAAAAAATTAATATATATATAGATAGATAGATATATGAAATTTTAAATTACAATTTGTTTTATGGCTATAAATTAAGTCTTAATAATAATAATAATAATAAACTTAAAAAAGCAATTAATAAATTACACACAAAAAATAATAATTAACAAATAATATACATATATATATATATATATAAACAATAAAATTCATAAATTATATTATAAAAAGACAAAAAATAAATTATAAATTTATAAAAAATTTTGTTTTAAATATAATTTCTTCTTTATAAATAATTCATTGAATTCAAGTTCTAGATATATATATATATCTAAATAATAATAATTTTTAACGATTTTTTTTTCAGTTAAAAATAGTACAATCAATATATATATATAGACCTAAAAAAAATTATTATTATTTTCTCTTTGGAACTGTTGTTACAATTTGTTGTTAATTATTATTAATAGTAATAATAATAATTTAAATGAAATTAATTTGTTGTGCATTTAAAAAGATACAAATTTTGTTTTTTTGTTAAATATTTATAATAATAATAACTATTATTATTAACTCAAAAAAAGTTTTCTGTGGTCCCAAACATAAAATTAGAAAAAAATTAATTAATTTTAATAATAATAATCAATAAATAGATGTTTTTAGTTTTAAAAGGAGATTTTTATACTATATATATGTATGTATTTGTGTGTTAATTTAAATTATATCTATATCTATAAATATATATATATTAATTCAAATTAAATAATAATAATAATAAACAATTTCTACAATTTGTTAAAAAATGATTGATTCGATTAATTACTAAAAATTGATATAATTTATAAAATTTTTAGACAATAATAATAATAAAATGTTTTTTGTGTTGAATTTTTTTGTTTGTTGTTGTGTTGATAAATACAATGCAAATCACAATTTCTATGACAAATAAGATAATTTTTTATATATATATATACTGTATATAATTTTTTTCTGTTTGTTGATAATATATATATATATATAAAACAGTAATACCAATAATCATAAAACCTATACATTATGTAATAATAATAATATTAATCAATAATAACTAAAGCGATTAATTTCATAATAAATATCTTTATCAATGTTTGTTTCATTCAATTAAACTTTTCACATATATATATATAGATTATTAATATATACACATATGTATAGAAAAACTCGTGTCAACTATAGTACAAATACAGTAATTACAGTATTATTAGTAGTTTTTTTTTATATATATAATAAAAAAATGAGAAAAATATTGACAAATAATTTATACTTATTTTTTGTTTTGTTTTGTTTGTTATAAACTGCATTATAAACATATGAAATGTATGGACCCATTTTATATTTTAATAATAATAATATTATTATTATTATTTAGCAAAAAGGTTATTATGTTTTTTGTTGTTGAAAAAATTAAATAAATATTTGTTTCAAAATTTATATATATATATAGTTTTTACTATTTTTTTTTTGTGTTGTATGTGTGTATATAATGTGTGAAATCAAAATGGGATTTTAAATATAAGTATATTATTTATAAATCTATATATATATATATTTGTATTAAAAATCACAAACTATTAGTAGTTTTTTTTTGTTGAAAAAAGCTAATAATTTAAATTAATTTAAATATAAATTCTCAATTAAATAATAATAATAATAATAGATAATATACATGTATAATATATATATATATGCTAATAAAATTAATAACATTAATTCATACAATAATAATATTAATAAAATTTTTGTACAACAATAATCTGAATATAAATTAATTAGTAATAAAATTAATATTATTTTTTTTAAATAAAAAAAATCAATCTAAAAAATACCGGTCCAAACAATCAATAATAATAATAATATTTTATAGAAACTATAGGCTATTATATATATATATATTTAAATATTTAGAGTATTACTGTTATAGTTGTGTGTGATTTTCCTATCCATTACTTTCAATTTCTCTCAAATCAATCAAACAATTAATAATAATAATAATTAAAAAAAATTTGTATCAATTTTTATATCAATAAAATTTTATAATTAGTAGATATATGTATAATAATAATAAAATGGTTAATCTAGAAATAAGTGTGTATGTTATGTGTGTGTGTGTATATATGTGTTATAATAATAATAATAATAATAAACTGAGTTTTGAATATCATATTTACTGTATAATAGATGTATAATATATATATATATTTATATATTTACTTCAATTGGTTTGTCTCCCTCTGTAGGAGTAGTGATGGGTCGGATCTACTACTACTACTAACTCATGCTTTAACAATGGATTTGTTGACCCAATGGTACCGATCCTGTTGTGTCTGATAGGCTGTAAACGGCGATTGAAAACTATTACCAGAAAACAATTGTCGCGAAAAGTTCTGGTTATTACTGTTATTATTATTATTATTAATATTATTATTGGCCTTTGAATTGTTGATCGATTGGTTAGCGTAATTCGTTTTGTTATTACTATTATTGTTAATATTCAGTCCCCTATAAGATCCATTACCACCGATGCTGAGACCATTACCACTACCACCGACGGCACGCGACTGTGGCGGCGATATCGGATACTTTAGATACCCGTTGTTGTTACTATTGTTGGGCGGACTCGTACTGTAATGAGTGGCAAACGGTGTGCCCGAACCGTAAAATGGATAGAATGACGACGACGACGACGAAGAAGACGACTGGTGCTGCTGGTGGTGTAATGGAGAACTCGATGACGACAAACCCATTGGATAATCGTTAAAACCGTTGTTACCGCCATTTGATGATGAATAGCCGTTAATAGTATTGTTGTTGATATTATTGTTATTCATATTCATATTATAACCATTCTTTCGTTGATTGTTACGTCTCTTTCGGGATGAGTTTAGTAAATCAAATGATGCCTTCAGATCACAAACACAACCAAAAAAAAAAACAGATCAGTCATCGATGTCTTCAGAGTTACCAATCAATCAATCAATAAATAACAACACAAATACCTGTCTATTCCTTTCGATAGTCTTCTGTTCCAGTTCTTCATAATTGATGGAATCAATGTAATTCTCTTTGCGTCCGTCTCTCAGTTTGGCTACAATACAATAGGAGCCCTTATGTTCACCAAATCTATTGGTGATATATGAAGACAAACAGACAATTAATATTAAACAGTTGTCTTAAGACAAACAAAATAGTTGACACCAACCGACACGTGACTTCATTGGGATCGACCCATAGGGTCAACTCGAGTGGCAGTTTGAGGTCATCGAAATTAATGCCGCACTCCTGGCAGGCCTTTTCGACCACTGAATCGCGCCGCGAATTTTCGTTAAACCGTATACAACGAAACGCTTGGCCACGGACTGGCTTATCGGGAAACCAATGATTGCGAAACTTTTCCTCCAACAGTTGGCAAAGCTTTTGACTAAACTTGTCGATCGTTTCCTTAGTTATCACATCCGAAGAAGAAGACAATGACGATGACGACGAGTGGTCAGCGGTTTTGGTGATCAAACGGGTCAGAAAACTGACTGCACTTTCAATTTCTTCTAACATTACTTATAATAGATAATCTGTTGACGAAAAAGAAATAATAATTATTAGTATTATTATCATAAAAATCAATTGAAGAAGTGGTAAAAGTAGAAGAAGTCGATGACTACTATACCATCAATTGATGGCTTTTTTTTGAATATGAATTCAATGATAACTATGGCGTCTATTGTTGTGTTTACTGTTTAAAACTGTCTTCACTATCACTAATATCTCTATCATATATAATGAAGATATCATTCAACAAAATCAATGACAACAACAACAATATTATGGATCAAATGTCTTGTAAAACAATAAATCTTTTGATAAGCTGTTTGGTTGTTGTTGTCGTCGTCGAGAAAAAATGGCTTCAATTGTATAGCAATAGTGAGAGAGAAAAAAATGCGTATAAAATATATAGCGTTTAACTAATTTTTTTTGTTGAACTCGTTATATATATAACTAATGTTATAAACATTAGAACCGATCTACAAAAGTATTGTATAGAACTGTACTTTTTTTGTGTTCAAATACATTATACTGTGTGTGTATAGTATAGCCTAACCTATAGTATAATATATACACTAATATAATGTATAGTGTATTACATATACACACACACATAGAGTCATAGCTCTAACCCGTTATAACACAAACAACAAGTAATGGCCTAAAAGGCTAACCGTTTTTTGTGTGTTGTGTGTGTTGTGTTTGCTTAGTTGGTCACCATTTCCTGGACTAACAATTAATATTTTTTTTTTTATAGGATATGATATAACACACTTACCCTAAAACTATACAATGGGTGTGATGTCGTCGTAGTAGATGATGGTATGGACAACAAAAATGTGGTATCAATTGTCTCATAAAAAATATTATTATTTATATATAAAATAATGTATTATTTTTTTCTGATGACTGAAAATGTTGTTTACTATGAGAGAGATGTATGTCTACTATTGAATTGAACACTAAATATACGTTTTGAATGGTATGAATGCATTGAACGACTGCTGGCGACTGTAATACAGTGTAAACTCGCGATAAACTATACGATCGACGACTCGATTACATGTACTGTATATACGTATGATATACTGTACCTATACTTTAACATTACATTTATACATAAAGGTTTGCATACATACATAAAGTACAGTACAGTATAGTATTAATACATGCATTAGTAGTGCCCAGAGAGGGAGTCACTCCCCCCCCCCAATAGGTAATGATGTCGACACTTCAAAAACAATCGTCATATGATTTTTTTTTTTATTTAATATGACATCATACAATTGTTTTTTTTACTTACCTACCTGTCCCCACTGTACTGTATTAACCACAATGGACAGGTATCACGTAGGCTATACTGATGATAATATGATTATTAACTAGGAAATACTGTATGTATTAATGTTATTAAAGTATATCATATATATATATATATAGGTATTATATGTACAGTAGATTATATACAGTATACTATAGAGAGTGTCCCTTAAAGTTAGTTAAAGTTTTTTTTTCGGCTTAAATATCATATAGTTTTAAATAATTTTTTTTTCAATGCATTAGAAACCCCCCGCCCCCAACCACCCACCCCACCCCCAAGTGTCGGGAAACTACTACTACTACTACTACTACTACTATATTATACAAATAATTTATCGGGTAATAGGATAACCAAGTTTTTAAAAAATATATACTGTATTAAAAAGCATTATATTTTTAATAAAAAAATTAATTAATTAATTAAATAATTAATTATTAAACTAACTATATGTAATATGTACAATGTTCACTTATTGATAATTTTTATTTTTTTATTTTTTTAATGATAATGATAAGATTATAATAAATTATTATTTATATTATTACATTGAAAAATTGTCAACAACATTTAAGCAAGGTCATTTATATTAATAAAAATAATATTTTCAATAATATAATATGATTGCACGTTTTTAGATGACGTAAATATTATTTTTTTTATTATTAGGAAATTATGCATGTTACGTTTATTATTATTATTTTTAATTTATACAGGTATTAATAATAGTAAATAATTTTTTTTTAGTTAATAAAATCGTTATGAGATTTTTTTTATTGGAAATTGTTTTTATTATTATTATTATAATTAATTTATTAATTAATTTATTAATTAATATATACGACATTTGAAAGTTTAATGTCATTGATAATTGTTTTTTTTTAAAATTTAATTTGTTTGTTTGTTTGTAAAAATTTTTGTTTATATAACACATATTATTATTTTGTGGTAATGATTACTACACACATACATAATAATTAATATAAAATATATATAAAAAAAGTTCATTGCATATAAAGTTTAAGGATATTTAATATTTATATATAAGAAAATGTTTACTAAATAATAAATAATAATAAAATATAACCAACAATTTCATTGATAAAACTTATAATAATAAAAATTTTATTAATTTGTTTTTTTAAACACTTGATATTATATCCTAAGTAATGATATTACAAAATTTTTACAAAATTTTATTTTATATGTTTATACAATAACATCATAATAAATAATACTCATAATAATAATATTCATAATGATATAACAAATAATTTTTGAAATAAAAAATACTAAATTAAATACATTAACGTATAGTAATATATCACATAATTTGCATATTATCACACACATAGCGGTAATTGATACGTAAATATATATATATAATAAATTAAAATTAGTATTTAAAAACAAACAAACAATAATATCACATTATTTTACCAATCAATCAATCAATTAATATATTGGCCGTAAATATATATATTTTTTTAAATTACCGGTAAAATTAGTATTAAAAAACAAACAATAATATAACATTATTTTACCAATCAATCAATCAATTAATATATTGGCCGTAAATATTAAAAAAAAACAATTACCGGTAAAATTAGTATTATTTAAAATAAAAACAAACAAAAATATCACATTATTTTTTTCCCAATCAATTACCCGATTGCCGGTAATATAATTACCCGTAAAATATATAAATTGTTTCGTTTGTTTTTTTGTTGGCTAATAATTGGATTTAGTTGTCTGTCCGGCGACCAGACATTTGGTGGCCAACAGTAGTAATATTGTTGACACCAAATGATTGACGATTGATATGATGAGCCGGTTGTCGTCCGCCACCGCCGCTGCCGCGGCTGACATCTTGAGTTGGCGCCGATAGTAATTGTTCTCCTAAGTTGTTGCCAACAACACCTGACCGCCTGACCCAATACCTGGGTGTTATGCTAGCGTTTCGGCCACCCCTATAGCTGACATTCGGGCGCCGGTAGATCTGGTTTGTCGATTCATTTGGTATTGTTATCACTGATGATTGCCGATGACTATTGTTGTTGTTGTTGTTGCTGATGACTGTTGAGACTGTTGACTGCAAAGTATGGTCAAGACCAACTTGAGGTACGGCAGCAGAGGCTTGATGTCTGAAAGCTGTGACAATAGTGTTGGCCAGCGGTAGTCGCGTAGTTGCCGTAGCTCTAGTGAGTTGTTGTTGTTGTCCACCGTAAACGTGGCCGACTTCTTCGGGTACCAGTAAAAGATTATGACGTCTACCGCTGCCTCCCCGATGATAGGCTAGAGAAGCTGAAGGTACGCCAGCAGCAGCAACAACAGTGGTAGTGACTAGACTTATGGCAGGTGGAGGAGTAGGAGGAGGAGGACGAGGATTGACTATAGGTTCGGCCGCCGCACGACTAGCCAATTGTTCGAGTATTAGGGAAAAAACTTGCGACAGACTATCGGCGGTGACGACAGGTGTTGTCGCCGACGATTGTGTTGATCGGGAAATGACATTAGTTGTTGTTGCGGACGACGAGACAGTGGTGGTCGTCATCGCCGCCGCCGCCGTCGCCATCCACTGACAGCATTGCCGACACATCGGACATGTCTTGTGGTTAGCGGTAGTGGTGGTTGAAAACCATTTGCCAATACAGTCGGCATGAAAACAGTGTCCACAACTAATCCATTTGATCGGTCGGTAGTTCAACGATGGCATCGGCGGCGGTGGCGGCGGCGATGATTGTAAGGTCATCGGATCCAAGCATATACTGCACAACTTGACCGACTTGTTGTGGTTGTTGGCAGACATATCAATGTTGGATTAGATGTTGGATCAGCTGATGATTGATTGATTGATTGATTCATACAAATAGTTTGTTGTTTTTTTTGGACACAACAACACCCGAAACAATACTAACTGATTGAATGAATGAATGGATTGAATTGAAAAAAATAAATTTAATTTCAATTCAAATATCGTGTAATTTATTGGGGGTTAGAGTTTGGACACTAAAAAAATCCTATTCCCCTATATATTCCCTCATTTTTTTAATAAGGAATTTCTAGAAAATTATTTTATTTTTATTTTTTTTAAAACATTATTTCTACTATTAATCTAAACTTTTTTATACAAAAACACATATTTTATAATCAATTTTATTTTATGTTTTAATTGTTTAACAAATTATATGTTTACAGAATATATAATTAAAAAAAAAAAATTAAATTTTTTCAAATAAATATTTTACTTATTCTTTTAAATATTGTAACAAAAATAACAAATTTGTATTAAAGTTATTGGTTTTTATTGGAAACATTTTTCTGGGGGGGTATATATTATTTTGTGTACAGTTTTTTTGGGGAACTATTATAGACCGTAGTTATTGTCGTTTACTTTAACACATTATGTGATGAAATACTACTACATTACATACAATAGTCAATAATCAGTGTTGGCAGAGACAAAGTGTGTATGTATAATACAAAGCGTATTTATACACAGTATAATACAATTATAAATTACATGACAATTTTGGTTTACAAAAAAAAATTTTAGCATTACCTAGTAACAAAAAAAATATTAAGATTCACAAACAAACACAATAATAATAATAATAATTTTTTTATTTTGAAAAAAAATTGAAATTAGCTATTCAATTTAATTCTGGTATTGAAATATATTAAATAAATAAATTAATATTAATTAATTACTATTAATTAATTATTATTATATTAATTAATTGTTATTATTATATTAATTAATTATTATTATTATATTAATTAATTGTTATTATTATATTAATTAATTATTATTATTATATTAATTATTATTATATTAATTAATTATTATTTTAATTAATTAATTATTATTATTATATTAATTAATTATTATTATTATAATAATTAATTAATAGTTTTAGAAAACAACGATTCTAAATTAGAATTTCTAATAACAATATTAAAATTATATAATTTTTTTATTTTATTATATTATTAATATAATTATTAAATTTTAAAATAAATATTTTATCATTGTTAATGAAATTTTATTTTTATAATTGTAAAATACACCCAGTACATTGTATTTTACAAATTGTTAAAATTGGAAAATTTTTGTATTTTTCCAACCCTAGTATTAATAATATTATTATTATTTCCGAAACATTATTATTGTGTGTTTGTATTGAGTGTGAAATATATGAATGTATAGTAAATGTACAGTAAATAGCAGTCAAAAAGTGTGGCACACATTGACTATAACACAGTGAGCGCCAAATGTATGGTAACTATTGATTGTCTTTTTTTAGTTAAAACTGATCCAACACTTGGAAAGTCAATTGATTTTTTTTTGGGATCAAAGACAACACATCCATACATACATTGAAGACATCCCGACAACAACCGACAAACAATGCCGGCCTCTGATGTTAGTTCGCTATACGATTCGGACTTTGACGACAACAAGAAAAAGTCATCGACGGCTAAACCAAAGTCGGGCAACGAATCCGATAATAAAGAGTACGATTCGGATGGCAATGAACTGTATGTTGTCGAAGATATCCGAGATAAGAAGCGTATGTTTGTCAAGAAGACGGGTACTCACGAGTGGTTATATCAGATCAAGTGGAAGGGTTACAGCGAAAATGAGATGACTTGGGAACCGATCGAGAATATGGATTGTCCCGATATATTGCAGACGTTTGAGAGGAGATGGAAAGCCAAACAAGAGATGAAAAAACAGCGAATGAGAGATGAAGAGCGACGGAGAGGCGAAAAGTTTGTGTCGTCGTCGTCGACGATGAGCTCACACAAGAAAGACAAGTCGTCGTCGTCGTCATCGCACAGAAAGACTCACGAGTCGTACGACTCATCGAAACCATCGACAAGTGGTCTAAGCAGAGATGATATCAGAAGAGCCGAAAAGGTTTATATATATATATATCTATAGATTAGTTGACTAAACAAATGTTTGTTTTTTGTTTTCAATTGGTTTATAGAAAAAACGAAAAAAGTCTTCGGATTCGGATAATAGCGACTCGGATGGCGATAACGATAGTCACAAACGTAAGAAACATAAGAAACATCGCAAACAACGCCGCAGTTCCGATGACTCCGACAACGATTCAGACGACGACGAAAAGAAACGATCGAAGACGAAGTCGTCGAAGAAAGCGAAGAGCGATGATTCGGATTCGGATAATAAAAAATCGGCGAATAAAAAGTTTGAAAGCGAAGCCGAAAAGAAAATTATGTCCAAACCTGGACCCAAACGAGCAAAGGAGGCCAGACTACAGAAGCTGAAAGAATCGGAACAAAAGACTAGTAGTAAACCATCGAAAGATAGTTCGGACGACGAGTCGTTGTCATCGAAGAAGTCGATTATGAAGAAGAAGAAGGATTCAGACGACAATGATTCAGATGCCGTCGGCGACAAACATAAGAAATTGGATGAAAAAGAGCCCGAATTGGATGAGACAACCAAAAAGATTATGTCCAGACCCGGTCCTAAACGAGCCAAAGAGGCCCGACTATTGAAATTAAAAGAAGCGGCAAAAGACTCCGACGATAACGAATCGAAAAAGACTGAAAAGAAATCCGTTTCAAACGATTCGGAAGATTCTGAAGATTCGTCGTCGAAGAAGAAGTCGTCGACAAAAGTACAGTCAGAAGAAAAAGTAGAAGAAGAAGAAGACGAGAGGACAAAGAAGTTAATGTCCAGACCGGGACCTAAACGGGCAAAAGAGGCCAGACTTCAGAAGTTAAACTCAACGCCTAAGCCGACGACGACGACGATTCCTGCCATCGATAAGATTGTTACACAAGAAGAGGATTCAAATTCATTCAATGAAATCGTTTCAAACAAAGACAGCGATAGTAATAGTAATACTAATAAAACTAGTGATAAGATAAAGTCAGTCGATTTGGTGGACAGTGACAGTGAATCAGTTGTTAGTAAATCAAATTCAACTGAAGATACTAAGGATACTAAAGACACGAAAGACAAGCCATCGTTGAGCGAAAAATTACAAAAAGTAATGTCCAGACCGGGACCTAAACGAGCAAAAGAAGCAAAACTTGCAAAACTGAATGAAAGTCTTAGCGAAGAACAACAGTCGACGTCGACGACGACGACGAAGAAAAATGAAGACAACAGTAACTCTTCTACAACTACTACTAGTGACGAAAAAAAGAAAACAAGTGGTGAAGACAACAACAACAACAAGTCTAGTGAAGAGATTAAGATAATCGAAGACAATTCTAGTGATGAAGAGATTGTTATTTCGTCGTCAAAAACAGTGTCTAAGACAACATCACCGACAGAAAAGACAACAACAACGACGACTACTACGACAACAACAAACGATGAAGAGAGAAGAAAATCAATAATGTCGAGACCGGGTCCTAAACGGGCCAAAGAGGCCAGACTTAAGAAAATGGACGAAAGTCTTAGCAATAGTAGTACACCTAATAAATCCTTGTCGATGATAGCCAATGATGACGATTCGCAGACTAATGAATCGGCGGCGGCAGCGGTACCGACGGCTGCTGCGGAAAAAATTAACGGTCTGGGCGATCATAATCGTTCAAACAGTACCGATTCGTTGGACGCCATAATCAGTACGCCGGCACCGGAGGAAGAATCAATGGAAATGGAACAAGAATTGGAGGCAGAGATATCTACGGCGTCGGCCACTAAAGATATACCGACATTGTTGACAAACGGTAAAGATATGACCGCTGACGGCATACCACTTGATGTTATGCCATCACTACTCGATAATGAAGACCCGCTAACAACTGCATCGTTGGCCAAAATCGGTAACAATGTTTGCGTTGACAGTACTAGACATATGCCCGAAATCATTAACGCCCTATTTCTTCGTCCGGGAGATCTAGATATGAAAAAACCGGGTTTCGTCGATAAACGGCTGACCATTAAACCGTATAATACCGATAAAAAAGTGGACAAAATTATATCCGCTTTCTATTGCAATGAAAGTAAACTATGTTTTCTATTGAAATATATATCAAACAATCGATGCGATGTTGTCTTAGCTGATGATGTCGGCAAACAGTAAGTCTTTATTATTGTAATTATTATTAGTTTTAATTAACTAATTATTGATTTTGTTTTGTTTTGTTTTTTGTTAGCTGTCCTCAAAAAGTGATAGACTTTTATCAGTCAAAGTTACTGTTTAACTGATATTATATAATAATTGAATTACAAAAGAGAAATATATATCACTGATGATGACTGTGTGTTGAATATGGTGTTTGTCATTACCATTATTATCATCAATCAATCAATCAATATGATCATCAAATTTTTTTTTGTGTCCATCAACTCGTTTAACGATACTCCCCGCTCCTCTCCCCCACCCCCACCAATTGGTCGTATATATCTATATATACTGTATGTATGTATATATATATATTACCGTATTGTTTGTTTATATCACACACACACACACATGCATACATATAATGTTTTTATTATATATATATATATAAATATATATTTATTATTATTATTATTATTATTATTTTTTGATTTGATTGAATTATGACTTTATGATTATCATATTATATATATATATATATACTGTTTAAATTTTAGTTTTGATTTCTATCGTATTTTTTTTTATATATATACAGTATATATATATTTATATGTATTTAAATATATTTTGTAATTAATGTTTTTCATTTAATAATTCAATAATGTGACCAATAATTATGTACTTTATCACACACACACACACACATTATATATATTTTACATATATGTTTTCAAGTTATTAATATTTAGTGACTAAATAAATAAATAAATAAAAAATCAAAGATTTTTAATTATTATTATTATTATTATTATTATAAAAAAAATTGTTTATTTTATTCTAGTGTTATATATTTAGTGTCAAAAAATTTAGACATCAATTATACTTTTTTTAATACACCAATCGGTTACTTATTTTTTTTATAACCAATTTTTTAAAATTTATCGTTAATTGGTAAATGTTTTCATACATATATATATAAATATTTTTTAATAATAATTATGACTACATTTATTGTGATTTATCATCAAAAAAAATAAAAATATAATTAAATTTTTTTTTTGGTAAAATTATTTTATTATATTTTATAATAACCGTATAATTATTATTTAGTTTTTTATTTTCTAATAATTTATAGGACTGTTTGGGATCTAAACCTCAAATGATTTAAATGTAATGTTATTATTAACAACAACTCGATTGTAATGAAGTTTTTTGTTTGTTTGTTTGGACAGAAAATACAAACAATAATTGTTTTGAATATTAATTAAAAATAAAATCAATTTTTTTAAAAAAAATATAATTATTACCACAAAAAATAGTTTATGTAAAGATTTAATTTTTTTTTTAAAAATCAATAATCTTATTAATACTAAATTAAAATTAAAATTAATTTAAAAAAAACATTAGTAATAGAATTATTCATATTTTATAATAATTATATAATTTATATAATACTTATATAATTTATATAATAATTATATAATTTATATAATATATACATAATTATTATATAATTATTTTTTTGGGATTTAAAATATTATTAATATTGAGTAAAATATTATAATAAAACGCTATAAACAATAATTTTCTACAAATATTATTATTATTTTCATACATAAAACTAAAAGTTTAATTATTTTTTTTTTTAAATTTCTAATCATTAGTCAATTGTATAATTGATATTAAAGTTGATATAATTTGATATTACAAGTCATAAAACCAGTTATTTTTTAAATATTCAATAATTTTATTAATAATATAATTAGTTTCATTAGTTGAAAAATTATTCAATGTTTTTAAAATTTATTTTAAACTATTAATACATATTATTATTTTTATTTTTAGTAAACTTTAATTGTCATTAAGTTTTATATATAATAACACCATTAGATTGATATTCACAATAATTATATAATATTTGAAAAAAATAATAAACTAATCAAGTTTTTAAAAACAATTTTATTTTGATTTTTTTTTATTAAGTAAAAAATTATATATATATATATTTATAAATTTTTTTTAATCATATTATACAGTATTGCATTATTATAGTAAATTTGAATTAGTCTATGTATACATATATTTACAGTATATATAATATAATTTAAATTATTATATATTAATTAAATATCAAGTATTGCTTTTGTTTAAACATTATTATTATTATTATTATCTACACATTAGATGATTGTGTTATTTATAAATATTAATTATTATTATTTATCTATAAATCATTCATTCAATTATTTACTTTTATTTATTTATTTTTTTCATAGATATTAACTTTTAGATAATAATAACTATTAATTTTTTTTGCATATCTTTTTATAAAAAAAATTATAACCACTAATAGTGTTTGATTCTGTAATTCACTAATTAATTAATTTTTTTTTCTCAATAACTTCGATATATATATATATTATAATATAAAATATTCATAATAATTTACAAAATGATTAATATATAATAATAATAATCTTAACTCAAATTTTTGTTATATACAAAATTTATATGTGAATTATTTATATATAAATTATATATATATATATATAATTAATTACATAGAGGTAGAGGAATGTTTGATTATTTATATTAACCATTAATAATAATACAAATACAAATAATAATAATACTAATAAATAAATGATAATATTGATAATTAAATGATTCATATAATATTCACATATATTAATAAAAATTTGTTTCAAAATAAAACAAACAAAAAATGTTTTCATTAAAAAAATAAAGTTTCCATAAAATAATTGAGAGATAATATATATATGGTATATAAGAGCCATTTGTTTCGATGATTATAATTTATATATAACTATATATATATATAAAATTTCGATAATGTTTTTGTGATTTTTTTTCAATATATATACAATATATCATATTTTTTTATAATAATAATTATTAGGTCATAAACACACACACATAAACACACACTTATCAATATATTTAGTATTTTTGGCACAATTATTGATGAGAGATTGTTTTGTTTTTAAATTATTTCTATACAGTATATCTTATAACAATAGATTATCCAATTTTTTTTAAACAAAACAAAATTTTTGGATTTTTTGTTTTATAAATTATTATTTAATTATTTTTTGTTTGGAAGACATTAGCCGTCAAATACAAGAATATTCTGTAGAAAATTCTGTCATTTTGTTGTTGTTTTTGTTGTTGTGATAAACGGTATCCCAATTAACACACATACACCCACACACCGGCTGACTAACTGACTGACTGTTACTGTCATACGGGTGTACTCAGGGTTGTCGACATTGTGGGCGAGCCCTGGACTTTGTGGTGTTGTTGTTGGTGCTGATGCTGTAGTTGTGTCGCTGATCCTACTCTTCCAGTATTATGAGTCTATAATATATAATTAGTATTATTATATAAAAACAAAAAAAAACATATTATTAATAATTTTTAAACTAAAATATCAATTATTATATCAACAAAAAAAAATTATGATTACATTTGTTGTCGTATAGGATGTCGTAAAATATATGCCATTCATTAGCGGCGTCTCATTAGTGGTTATAACTTCATCGTCAGTCATGATAATAGTCTGATGATCGCCGATACCGCCGACAACTAAACCATTGGCTGGCATTAGATATCTATTGAGCTTTTTATAGTCACTAATCGGCGGCGGCGGCGGCAGCGGTTGCTGTAGAAGTGTTGTCTGGCCATTGGTTATCCAATCGGCGGTAATCCTGTCGACATAGGCATCACCTTCGGGTGTGTGTCGCTAAATAATATACAAAAAAAATTGTATTTATTATTATTATAGGTATATATATATATATATATATTATGTAATTTATTTTTACAAAAAAATGATGACAAATAGTGAGTTTGAAATTATTATTATTACAGATATATAGAGTATACAGTATTTAAAATATATATATAATTTAGTATACAGTATATAATAGTATATATTATATATAAGTATATATATAATAGAGTATATATATAATATAATTTAATTTAGATTTTTCATATGTTTTACAATAACTGTTTATTTATCAAAAAAAAATAAATAAATATTATCATTAAAATTATTTGAATACATTTATAATTTGTATTATAGAAACATTTCCCCCCCCCTAATATACCTGATTATTAAAATAATAATAATAATAATAAAGTAAAATATTTTATTTAACAAAATAATTATTTTTCAAAAAATTAATTAATTAAAAACAAAAATATCCTATGAATATATATATATACCGTATATATATATTAGTAATGTATGATTTATTTTAAATAATAGTATAGAATTTAATAGTTGTATAGTTATATAAAAGATATCTACAGTATATATATATATATATACAGTATATAATAATAATAATAATAATAATAATAATATAAATTTGTTATATAATCTATATATTATATGTCTATTTATTTGTTAGTTTAAAAATTTGTTAATTAATGGTTTATCGCACAAAATCAAAACATAAAAATCAAATTTACGTGTCATTACTACTACTATTACTACTACTACTACTACTACTACCACTACTACTACTACTACTACTACTACTAATAGTGAGATTCATGTATACTATTGATACTATTAGTTTGTCGGCTAAAAGTTAATATACATATAAATTTATAATATTATCATAATATTGTAATATTAGATGTTTTATCAGTCTATTTATATAATTAATCATTTGTGTGTGTTTTAGGCTTAAAAATATTTAGTAGTAGTTTTTTTTAATTATTATTGTCGCAAAAATAATTAAACTTTTATCAAACAACACACACACACACACTTTGAATAAATAAATGTCTAAAAATATATTTACAATAATAATACATTTTTATAAAAATTTTACACTAATTATTTTTACTTTATATACTGTTAAGTATATATATAAATATATATAAAATTTATATGTGTGTCACTGTATTATATAAATAAATAATATACAATATATTATGATCTCTATATGTAATTATTTCAATTAATTTATATATATATTTAAGTTTGCTTATAATTATTATACTGTATAATATATATATATATATAGGATATTTTAAAAATGATAAATTTTCACAATTTGACATTTAAAATAAATAAATATATATAAATTAATTAATATGTATAAATAATTAGAAATTATTTTTTTTTAAATTTTATTATAAAAATTAATTAATTAATAAATTAATTAAAATTAATTACCTGTTCGTAGGCAATGGTGACGTGCGGTTCATTGAATGTTGTCTCAGTTTGGCCTAAAATATGGTCAAACTTATCGCTATTTATATTATTGTGATCCCAATTGTTTAGATGATGATTGAAATCATTATCAGTTATATGTGTGCCTTCAATGCCATCGATAACATCGAAAGCCTTAACATAAAGTGTTCCCACTTTTGATTTGATTTTTTTTTTTTGGTGTCAAACATATATATATATATAAAAAAGATAATATTAATAAATAAAATACAATTAGATATTTATTTAGTATATACTATAGTATATAATTTATTGATCAATAAAAAACAAATTTTATTATTTAATAAATAACTACTAGATATAATCAATATATAATATATAAAAATAAAATATGTCTGACTTATATAATATCATATATTGATATATATATATACAATATATTATAACTTTATATTAATTTCTATATCAATCAATAGTATCAATGTTGTTGTTGTTGTTGTATTAGTTAAATATTAAAAAAATAACCAATAAATCAATATATATATTGAATATGAAATATTATTATTATTATTATATAAACAAATACATACTCTGAACACCATTTTGGACGCAATTTCTGCCATTTATATTATCGGCATTTATATCATTATCATTATCACTGCCATCACTACTATTACTATTAGTAGTAGTAGTGGTCGTACCCATAATCTTGCCGTTAGGAGGACCTCCTTGTAGTGACTTATGTCGACCAACTTTGTCGACCAATTATATACATAAAAAAATATATTAAATAAAAAAATATATTAAATAAAAAAATATATTTTAATATATAATTAATAGATAATTAATGAATTATTTAACATAATATTCTAATAAAATATATATATGTTTTTTTTGTTTAAAAATTTGAAAAATATATTAATAATAATTAATGAATTATTTAGCATAATAATATAAGTTATATATATAATATATATATAAGTATATATATATTTTAAATAAAAACAATATATATATTATTATTAATAATAATTAGTCTATTAATAGTCGATATAATGTTTAACTAACAAAAAAAATTAGTATGCAATATGTTATACATTGTATTCAATATAATTTATATATATAATATTTTATAATGTAAATTATATAACGTATACAATATTAACAATGTATTATTATTATTAACATATGTATAATTATAATATATTATAAAATAGATATTTTATGTTAAAATATAACTGATTAGTATTTTATGTTAAATTATATACTTAATTGTAAAATTAATCCGAAAAATTTTATATACATATATATTTTTAAAAAAAATTCAAATTTATTCATAATTTATTTATTAATTATTTAATAAATTAATAATTTTTTTTTGAAAATACCTTTATTTTGAGCTAATGTCTTGATTTTTGTAATAATCATTATAATTGTCGCCAATATAACCAATAGGCCGACGACTGATATCAATATATATATCACAGGTTTTAAACCAAATTCTGTAATAAAATAAAATAAAATAAATATTAAAATTAAATTAAGTGAACAACAAATTATATATTCAAATATATATATATATACATTAAAAAAAATTAATGTAATTGTATTAATTTATTTTTTGTTGATTTAAATAAATATAAAATTAAGTTATACACTAATATAAAAAATATAACAAAAATAAAAAGTATAAAAATTTGCAACTCAATGAAAATGTACACAATTTTTTTTTGGATTTTGTTATATATATATTATTTGTCTTATTTAATAAACAATAAACAAATACAGTATTATCTCTCTCTCTCTCTCTCTCTCTCTCTCTCTCTCTCTCTCTCTCTCTCTCTCTCTCTCTCTATGTATGTATGTATGTATGTATGTATGTATATATGTATTATACAATATAAATAGTAGTAGTATTAGTAGTAGTAGTATAAAAATAAAATGCAATATAAATAATTATATATAATAGTAAATGTAATTAAAGCTATGAGAGAGAGAGACTATACTATAAATGTAATTACTATAAGTATTACTATACTATACTTAATTTATATATATATATATCTGTATATATATACTAAAATTATTTATATATCTTATATAACTTACATTATTTGTATAGTATTATACTGAATATATATATATATATATTAAAAAAATTTATATGAATAAATTCATAAAAGAAATTCATCTTAAATATATATATATAATATAATATACTACCAGAAAAAAAAATAAAAATTTATAAATAAATTAAAGACATTTCACTTGGAAAAGGCGTCCTAAAAATATACCATCAAATATATATTCATATGATATGTGTGTGTGTGTGTGTGTGTGTGTGTGTAAGTGAGAGATAAATAAATAAATAAAGAGAGAGAGAGAGAGAGAGAGAGAGAGAGAGAGAGAGAGAGAGAGAGAAAGAGAGATATAAAGATTTTAGCGATAATATAGACATTAATTCAGAGATTTCTCAGAGATATTAATCTCTCATTTTTGTTGTTGTGTTTGTTTTTAAGAGCCTAACCATTGCCTAACAATATATATATATACTGTATATTGTTATATAACTTGATGTATGATATCAAAAGTGATGAGTAAATCACTTTTAAATTTATGAATCTTATAAATATATATATAAACATATAATACTTATATAATATATAACTTTATAAATACTGTATATATATAGTTAAGTGATGCTTAACTTTTTGGTATATAAAAGTCATAATCATTTTTCAAAACAGTAAGAAATAGTGTATAAACACTATATATATAAAGTTTATATAATAATTATATACAAATGTAAAGTATTATATTAACAGCTTTTTTAAAAATATATTAAATATATATATACTGTATATATGTATATAAATACTAAAATACTACTACTAATAGTTTTAAAACAAACAAACAAAACATTTTCATTATTCAGTAATAACTTTATACTTAAGATAATAATTATTGTATAAAAATATTTTTATGTAAAATTTTTAATTGAAACAGTTATTTGTGTAGTAATACACAATTATTTTGTAAAAATTATTTATTTATTTTTAAATATATATATATATTCTAGTAATTTTGTTTGTCTTTTATTTAATAATTAAAACTTAAAACAACAACAAAAAATTTAAGTGATATATTGTATATAAAAATTTTTGTTAATTTTTAGCTATCACATATAATAATAATATATATTTATATATAAATTAAACTTAAATGTAAAAATATTAATTATAGTCATATTATAGTACAGTACATACTGTAATATAGGTATAATAATTAAAGTGCTATTTTTAATTAAAATATATATATCATATAATTAATTATTATTTTTTTAGTATAAACATAATACCATAGTATGTATGCATTGTATAAATACTATAAGGTATGTATATCTTAATAAAGGGCATAAATATTATGATAATTTATAATATAATATTTTTTTTTGTTGCTTAAAGATTTCTCTATTAATAATATATATTAATATATTATATTAAGATTTAAATATTTTCATAAAAAAATTAAAATAATTTTTTGCTAATAAACAGGAAAAAAACAAATTTTTGCAATTTTCAAAACCATAAAAATATATTACGAAATTTTCACCAATATTTTCCTCCAAAAAAAAAATCATTACACAATAAATAATTTTTGTTGAAATTATTTAGCCTTTAATTTATCAAAAAAAATAAAATGTTTCAAAAAAATCATAGTTTTAAATGCAATATAATTACACAAAAAAAAATTAATTTCAACAATTTTTTTTGTACTTAAAATTAATAATTATTTATTAAAACTATACACTCGAAAAAAATATCAACAAAAATAATAAAATAAAATTAAAATTGTAAATTATTATTATTATTGATAATTTACAATGGATTATTGTGCAATTTAATTTTCAATTTAAAAATTATAATAATAATAATTATTATTATTACTAACTATTTAGACTCATTAAAAAAAACAAATTACAAAAATAATAAAAATTAATTAATTAATTAATTATAATTAATACATACGAAGTGTGCCTAAAGTAAACTCATCCTTAAACGGCTGTTTAGCTGAGGCACCGGTTAGGGTAACATAATTTGAACGGCCCTTAGCATTGGCCGCATAGAGAACCAGTACAAAACTGGTAGCTATAGGCAGCCCAGTTACCTCAAACACCGGGCTATTGTAGGGCCGGGTGGGCTGCCCCTGCCCTTGCCCTTGCCCCTGCTGCTGCTGCTGTACGGACGTCCAATTGGACTGTAGCCTACCGTCCTCCGACTCGTATATCTCCAAATGAAACGACTGTTCCAGCCCACCGTCATCGCCCGGTTCGCACTTAACAACCAGTCCATCGGTACTCTGATTACCGACCAGACAATTGCGGACCGGTTGTGGCGGTCCGGCGGGTATAACCTGATAGACACACGGTTCCAGTTGTTCGCCCAGTTTATTCCTGGCCCAACAATACAGTTCACCGTAACCGTATTTAGTACGGGGAGCGTAGGTGGCCACCGATCGCAATTTGGTGGTCACAAAATTTTTCACAGCAACCACTTCGTAGCTATTGTTAAAACTCCAGCGGAAAGACACTTGCGGTGGATCTGCTTCGACATCGCAGGGCACTTGTATGGGCTCACGTTTGCCGACACCGTATATAATACGCTGATCCGGTCGACATACCGGTGCATCTGTTAGATCATAGAGATATATATATATAGAGTCCATATATATTAATTAGATTTTTATTTATTTGTTGTTTGAATGATAAGTCATATAATACTAACCCACCCCTCCCTTAATATAGCCTCTAATATAACTTATATGACTTTTGATTTATTTTATGGACAAGAAAAAATTTAATGAGAAATTTATAGGAAAGTTTCAAAACAAACCATTAAGGGTTTATTAAATTTTTTTTTTTGATGTCTCCCTTTAAATATTTTTGTTTTAAATAGTAATATAATAATAAGTAAATAATATCATTATTATTATTGTTTTAATTATAATTTTCAACAACAAAAAATAAATACTAATAATATTAATAAATCTATTTGAATTAGTAATAAAACTTAATGTTGAATATTTATATTAAAAAATAATAACTAATTATAATTGAAATCATTATATTAATTATATATATATATATATCCAATTTATTTTTATATAGTAGTCTACTGTTATACATAATACATATAGATATGGGGGGATGAGATCCCATAGTATATACATAATACCTATAGATATGGGGGGATGGGATCCCATAGTATATACATAATACCTATAGATATGGGGGATGGGATCCCATAGTATATACATAATACATATAGATATGGGGGGATGAGATCCCATAGTATATACATAATACCTATAGATATGGGGAGATGGGATCCCATAGTATATACATAATACCTATAGATATGGGGGAATGGGATCCCATAGTATATACATAATACCTATAGATATGGGGAGATGGGATCCCATAGTATATTTACATACATAATAAACATAAAATTTTTAAAAATAAATAAACATAAAATAAATTAAACATATATTTTTACCCCCCCCCCTCCCCAGAGAAAATTTCTAACACACTTACATAATGTTTTCAATACAATATCATCGCTTTCGCCGACACCCTCGGCATTGGCCGCAACGCACCGGTATTTCCCAGAGTTATGTCGCCTAATATCGCTTAACACTAGTGTTGTACCCATTATATCGACATTAGGCATACTATTGCTTAATAGTTGTTTTTGTTGGTCATATTTCCAACTGATTTCACCGACGGGCGGATTGGCCATAACGTGACATTCAAACGATACATTGGAGCCCTCCCGGAGCTGATCGTGGTGTATACTGGCACCGTATGATACAGTCAATCGTGGTTTATCTGGTGGGTGGGTGGGGGTAGGGTAGACAAAACAAATATTAAATAATAATAGTATTTTAATTATTTTTTTAAATACTTAAAAGTAAATTAAAAATTTTTAACCAAAATATATAGTATTATATACAATATTGTAATATTTATATATTATATACACTGTATTATACAGTATTTAATATATATAATTATATACTGTATTATAATATAAATATTATATATATATATAATGTTTGATTAAATACAATTGAATTGGAAAAAAATAAACAATTTTTATTTTATTTATTTATTCAAATTTATTTATAGCAAATGGGTGTTTACTGTATATATACTGTATATATTCAATATATATATATACATTTAAATTATATTTATATATTATAATAATAATAATAATATTTTTAAAAGTCAAATTTACTTATGTATGTCAAATACACTATTGGTCTATATATATATATATATATATATATATATATATATATATATATATATATGTATTGACTATATTTTATTTTTATTTAAAAAAAACACAAATTTTTTTTAACATATAAATTACATTTTACCTAAAAAATATATTTTACTCGAAAATAAAATCCAACAAAAAAAATAAAAATATTTATTTTAGTCATGATTTTCGATATCAATATTTTTTTTTTTGGTTATAGATTTTTAGCATTTATTTATTATTATTTTTCATATATTTTTTACTATTTCTTAAATCATATATTTAAATAATATATTGAATATGAATTTTTCTAAAAAAATAAAAACAATTGTTTTTAAATATATTAAACAAAAAATACTAAAAGATTTTTTGGTTGTAATATCATTGTTGTTGATTGTATTATACATTTTGATACCTGGTTTACCCCCCGATATATATATATAGTAAATATATATATAAATATATATATATATATATAGCTGATTGCATTATATTATATTATTATTTTATTTAGACATTTATTTATAACATTTATAATATAGTATAGTATAGTATAATATAATACTTATAATATAATATACATTAAATGTCACATAAGATAAAAATAAGAAATAATGTGAAGTGAAATATATCCGCAATATATATATGTTTAGTATTATTATTATTGTTATTATTAATATTTATTATTTATAAATAATATTTATTTATTATTAATAACTACAACAACAACTACAAGCTATTGCTATTAAGTCAAGTGTTTGTGTGTGTGTTAAGAGAAAAAATAAAATAAATATTATATAATAATTTGAAGTCAAATACTGTATATTATTAATACTATGTAAGCTCACACAAACACATACAAACACATACACACACATACATACATACACACACATACATACAAACATACATACATACATACAAACACACATACATACATACACATACATACATACACACACATACATACATACACAGATACACACATATACATACACACACATACACACACATACATACATACAAACACACATTTTATGAGTACTTTTATTTTATGTATAAATATAACATACAATATATATATAAAGTAAGAAAATATGTCACTTGAATTAAATCGCTATCTCTCTCTCTCTCTCTCTCTCTCTCTCTTTATATATATATAATAATAATAATAATAATAATAATAATAATAATAATAAAATCAAAATATAAAAATAAAAATCCAGAAACAGTTTGTTAAGAGATATTTTTCTCTCTTAATGAATGTTATAACAGTATTGACATTAGTGTCCAAAAACAGAGTATATAAAAGCAAAAACATAGCGCAAGGATTACAAACAAACAAACAAAACAAAAATCTTAATGTCTATGACTGACACCCCTCTAGTGCTATGTTTGTGTATATACTATATATATAATATTATACTGTAGTATATATCAAGAGGTCAGGGATTACATAATATATCTGACAATATTTTTGTGTGTTATGTTAAAGCTCTTAGAAGTGCGAGTGAGTGAGTGAGTGGGTGAGTGAGTGAGTGAGTGTGTGAGTGAGAGAGAGAGAGAGAGGCTTAAGATATTGCATTGTGATTACTGATGTTTAAGTAGTAGATTAACGTCAATATATAATAATATATATAAAGAGAGAGAGAGAGAGAGAGAGAGAGAGAGAGAGAGAGAGAGAGAGAGAGAGAGARAGAAAGAGAGAGAGAGAGAGAGAGAGAGAGAGAGAGAGAGAGAGAGAGAGAGTTAAATACTACAGTGAATATTATAAGTCAATATTGATTTGGTATATAAATTATATATAATATATCTGAGAATTTTTTGTTGTTGTTTTGTTTTTAAATATTGAATTTTATTTTTACTAATTTTACTATTTTTGTATTTTACTAATATATATATATATATAGTGGTTGTTTGGTAATATAATTAAAATAGTTAAATAATAATAATCGCATATATTGATTATATATATATTATTATTATTTAACAAAAATATTGTTTCAATAGTAATCAGTTTCTGATAATAATAATAATAATAATAAATATTTCTAATTACAGGTATATATATATAAGCATAAGTAATATACTATTGATATAATTATTTTTTTTTTAAATTTAAATTACAATTAAATTAAAAAAAACTAAAATAATAATCTTTACAATAAATGTCTAAAAATCGCATATAAGTAATATATATACTAAATATACTGTATATATAGCAAAAAAATAACGCATAAATTATATATATTTAAAAAAATATCGTTTCAATAGTAATCAGTTAATCTGATTATATATTTATCAATTATATATAAGTATAAGTAATATATTGATATAATTATTTATTTTTAAACCCAATTAAACTAAAAAAAAATTATATATATATATATATATATATATATATACTTACAATATATATCCAATATCCATGAATCTTCTAGCGCCGAATCGGGTAGTGTCGAGTGGTCAGCCCTGCACGACAATATCTTGCCATTATCATCGACGGCCGGTACAAATTGGACGGTACTGGTGGTCAGATTTTCGTTTGCCGACAACTGTTCGGCTGCTACTACCGATCCTGAATGGCCTAATCGTTTGGATCCTTTCCACCAGGTGACCAGTGCTGGCGGTCGGGAACCGCCCGATTCGCATACAACTTCAATCGGCTGGTCGGCCAGCAATGGCCGATGAATTGTTGTTATTCGTACGTCTAGTGGACGAACTGTTTGTTCGGTAAAACAAAAAATAGACAAAAATAATATTATTAGAAAATAATAATTAAAAAAAATAATATAAATTTATTAGAAAATATAAAATATAAAAAATAATTTGTTTGTTTGTTTAAAAAAATTAATATAATATTATTAGAAAATATAAAATATAATTTGTTTGTTTGTTTAAAAAAATATAAAAAATAAAGTGTTTGTTTGTTTTAAAAAATAATATATAATATTATTAGAAAATAATAATTAAAAAAAATATTTGTTTGTTTGTTTAAAAAAAATAATATATTATTAGAAAATAATAATTTATAAAAAATAATTTGTTTGTTTGTTTAAAAAAATATAAAAAATAAATTGTTTGTTTGTTTAAAAAAATAATATATAATATTATTAGAAAATAATAATTAAAAAAAATATTTGTTTGTTTGTTTAAAAAAAATAATATATTATTAGAAAATAATAATTTATAAAAAATAATTTGTTTGTTTGTTTTTAAAAAAATAAATATTATATTATTAGAAATTAATAATATATATTATAAAAATAATTTTTATTTTATTTTTAAGTTTACTTATAATATTTGAATGTGAAATAAATGAATGAAAATTAAATTAAAAATTATTATTTTTTATATGTTGTTTGTTGTTTGCTCTCAACTGTAACTAAATATTAATATATAATATAATTAAATTTATTTTTGTTGTTTTGTTTGAAAACAAATATTAATTATAATATATTTTTTTAAAAAAACTATAAATTAATTTTCTATATATATATTCACAAAAATTCTGTATAAATATAAATATTAAAAAAATGTTTTTCAAATGAAATTCTTTATGAATGCTATAATATATCTATATATATATATTATATAAATAAATAAAAACTAGAAGTAATTCTAATGCAAAATATTTTTCACATATATATATACAGAATATTCTTTATATAAAGAATATTCTGTATATAAATAAATTATATATATATAGTATATATATAAACTTAACGGTACTGTAAATTGTCGTAAATATAGTGTGCGAGATATCCATAAGGAAAGAGAGAGAGAGAGAGAGAGAGACAGAAAGAGAGATTGGTATTGATATAAATAAAAAATGGATTTAATATAAACAAAACAAAACAAAACAAAACAAAACAAAACAAAACAAAACAAAACAAAACAAAACAAAACAAAACAAAACAAAACAAAACAAAACAAAACAAAACAAAACAAAACAAAAAAATAAATGCAATCCATTTGAAGAGTTTATATGAAAGAGAGAGAGAGAGAGAGAGAGAGAGAGAGAGAGAGAGAGAGAGAGATGTGAATACTTTAAGTTTATAACACTATATAAACTATAAATATAATATATAGCTATATATATATATATATATACAGTATGTGTGTGTAAACTAGGATATGACTTAGCGTTTAATAAAAAAAAATATATATATATACAGTATATAAACTGTTAGTTTTGTGTGTGTGTGTGTAAAAAATGCATTGATTTATCATTGAATATAAAAACACACACAAAATAAAGGTGTGATGAATGACATGAAACCATTTATTCAGTGTTTAAGTGAGAGACCGGTCATCACTCACTAAATAATTTTTTTTTTTTAAAAAAGACTATCTCTCTCTCTCTCTCTCTCTATTATAATATTGATATATATATATACTTAAAAAATATATACATTATTTTTAAGCCCTCTAAACAACATAAAACAAGGTTAGGAGGGACACACATACACACACATACATAGATAACATATGTATAGTACTGTACGGGTATGTAATCAATTGATTTAATATTATAGTGCCAGAAAAAAATAACACTTACTTAAGGCTATATATTATATATATGTATATACTGTACATCACATATATATATATAATCTATTATTATAATACGGTATATATTCAATACATACTGTATACAGTATATAGAGAACAAAAGTGATTCAAAAAAATCAAAATATTTGGCAAATAATATACAGAATATTCTGTACACAGAATATATATATACTGACTAACAAACAAACAGCCAAAAAACTATATGTGTGAAAAATAAAATAAAACTATATATATAAATATATATATATAACTAAATGGTATATATATATTGATATATTGATATATATATAAAAAATGTTTGTCCCTTACGATTGAGCTCCAATGTTATACTGGCAGTGATGACTGCTTTTGTTAGATTAGAGTTAGAGGCCAGACATGTCAGCTGAGACCTATGATCCGTACGTAACAATCGGGTTATAACCAATTCGTTTCGTACGATTCCCTGTGGGGTAACCATATAGGAGTCGTCAACCAATTCAGCGGATGAATCCTTATACCAGACAACACTTGGACGCGGTTTGCCTGTCAATCACAACAACAACAATAACAACAACATATAAGTACTTATAGTACATACTGTATAGACAATCACAATATCAGACATTAATCCTATTATTATTATTATTATTATTATTTTGGATTTTATTTATTTGATTTTTTTTGTGTTTCGTTTGGATGCAATTATTTTGGGTGTGTATATGTATGTGTAAATGTGTGTGTGTAAATGTGTGTGTATATATGTATATATGTGTGTATGTATGTGTATTTATATATATATATATATATATTTGTGTATATATCTATGTATGTATGTGTGTGTGTGTGCATATGTGAGTGTATATGTGTGTTTATATGTATATATACTGTATATATGTGTGTATGTATGTGTATTTATATATATTTGTGTATATGTCTATGTGTTTATGTATATGTGTGTGTATGTATATATATATATATATATATGTCTATGTATGTATGTGCATGTATGTGTGTGTATATATGTCTATGTACTGTATGTATGTGTATGTATAGTTATATAACATTTATTTATAATCGTTATATAATAAATTGCTGATAAAAAAAATTGTGATAAATTTAATTTAGTTTTTTAGTGTCGTCATCATCGTTGTCGACTAACATACCTCCCTCGGCCTCGCAAATAATAGTTAGGTGGGCGCCCTCATTGAACGGACCGACCGGATCCCTTAATCTCTGGCCATATTCATCCATAATTATCACTTCTTTAGGAGGCACTGGTATGTATTGAAAATCAAAAACAAAAGTAATAATAATAATAATTTGAAATAAATATATGGATAATAATAATAACAATAATTACCGATTACATCCAAATGGACAGTCCTATATTGGGTACGACCCTTCCTGAAGTCAATTCTACACTTGTATTCTCCCATATCAGTAGCTAATAATATATATATATAAAAAATATTTTTAAAAAAATAATTAATTAAATAAATAAATTATTTTTATATATATATATACACATAAAAAAAATACTAGAAAAACATATTAAATATATATATTTTCTCTCTCTCTCTCTCTCTCTCTTTAATCTGTAAATAGATTTTAATAAAATTAATGTATAAAAAATTATTTTTATTTATATTATTCAATATACTGTACTCTACTATATATATTATATACTGTATATAATATATAAACAATTGTTGTAATGGAAATATATAGTGAAAACATTTGTCACCAAACAAAAAAAATATATACTGTATTTTCCTAATATGTTTATTGTATTGTAAATACAGTATAGTATAACTATATATATATATATATATATATCAGTATATACTGTATATTTTGATGATTGATTTTATCCAAACAACACATTTCATCACTCAATGTATTAAAATCTAATATTAGATATTTGTTATAAACAACTTGTATACTGTATATACTGTACAAGTTATATAAGAGATTATCAATACTACTACTACTACTTATAAACTTTATAAACTAAACTAATATTATTATTGATATCCACGAAAAAATACGCATAATATATATAATATATATATATATATATATATATATATATATATATATATACATAAAGTTATTTATGATGTCTATCCCTTCAACAAAAAAACTATGGGTGCAATACAGTTGATGACATATGTATTACAGTTCAAAAATATTAAGAAAGAAAGAGAGAGAGACAGAGAGAGAGACAGATAGAGAGAAAGAGAGAGAGAGAGAGAGAGAGAGAGAGAGAGAGAGAGAGAGAGAGAGAGAGTTATACTCTCAATAAGTAAATCAGTTATGTGTTTGTGTGTCAAAACTAAAGTAAAAGTCATTATTTATTAGTATATATATATATATATATATATATATATATATATAAAATAACTTATTTAAAAAACAAACAAAATTTATTATTAAAAATAAAACAATATTACAGTAAAATAAAAAAAAAAGCAAACAAACATGAAAATGTTTTGCTGTAAATAAAAATGTATTGCATTTATATTATATATATATATATATATAAATTGTTTATAAAATTGATAATTTCTGGCAAATAAATCGATTCCTATTGATTGACATTTACTTTGATTTATAACTGTTTATAACAGTAAATATATACAATCAATAATAGTAATAATAATAATAATATAAAAAGTAATGCTATTTAACACAAAAACTAGAATAATATTTTTCAACACAAAAAAACTAAAATCAGAGAAAAAAAATAGTTACAAATAATTTCTATCAAAAAAAAAAACCATTACATTGTGTTTGGTATTTATTGTATACACAAAAATAGTATTTTATATATATATATATATTAATAGAAATTTTGATAAACAATTTTCTACTGTATATATCGTATATACAGTAGAAAATTGTTTATCTATTATTTTTGATATTGATAACTATTTAACTATTGATAAAACATATATAAAGTAAACTTACCCTTAACTGAATCGACGACAAGTGCTGTTGGCCTGTAAATGATATTTTTAAAAAATTGCAATTATTAACAATATATTATCATATATTATAAATATATAGAGTATATACTGTATATATAGCAAATCAAATATAAAATAAATATCAATAATATTTATGTCACAAATTTTATAATCAGTTATATATATATAATATCATAAATTCCTTATAGAGAGAGGGTTTGAGGCAAAATTCAATAATATTTTTTTATTAGTATATATATACATATATATATACTAATAAAAATATATATATATATGTATATATATATCGACAAAATTTGCCCCTTTTGTTGGTTCAATCAAGTGTTTTGTTTGACGAGACATACATTTTATTATTATTATTATATTTTATTTTTTTATAATGTATATATATATATATATACAGTATATTGAATGACATGGCATCTCCCAGTGTATAAATAGATAGATAGATATCAATATATATTTATATATATATATATATAAATAAATTTTTAATAAAATCAATGTACTGAAAGCTAAACTCATATTTTTGTTGTTGAATTAGTTGTCAATTGTATATATAAATTGAATGAAATAATATATATATATATATTTTTTAAAAATAAAAACTTTTATAACAAAAATAAATACTATCTATACCTTCAAGTATAACAAAAAAAAATTGAATAAAGCATTTATATATATTATATTCAATATTATTATTATTTAGAGGAATGCTATTAATATATATAAAAAATAATTTTTAAAAAATTTTATAAAAACATTAGGTATGTGTAAAAAAATCAATGTCTAGAAAACAAAAATTTTAAAACACATAATCTCTCAAAAAAATAAATAATAATAAAAAAACACAATTATCTATACGTTATTTTTATTTAATTTTTTGTTGTTGTTGTTGTATAGAAAACGAAAAAAATATATAAACTATTTTATGTGATTATTGTTAAAATAATAATAATAATAATAATAAAAACAGACACAAAATATTATCCAAAAAAAAATGATTTGTCATAAAAATGATGCCAAAAAATAAGTGCACTTTTTATTATTATTATTATTATTATTATTTAGTATTACTGGCTATATATTTACAAAACAATCACTTATCAAAAAAAAATTGTGTGACATTCAAATGGCAAATGTTTTTTTATTATATATATATATATATAGTATATATATATACTGTAAATATATTTATATAGACATTGTATCTCTAGAAACTAGAAAAATCAAAATTGGTTTGAATTTACACTATATATATATATATTATTTATTTATACAAAATATATATAATATACAGTATAAATTGAAATTTACAATTTATATACTGTATATATATATATATTGAATATATAATACTGTATAACAATAACTGTGTAAATGTGAATATATATATAAATATATAAAATTTAGATAAACTGTATATACATATTGTATATACAGTTTATATAATATGTATATATATATAATGCCTATTTATACAGTTCAATATACTTTTGTAAGTTAAATAAATAAATAAAATAAAATAAGTATTATACACTGAATAAATTTTTACCTATAAAAATGTAAACAAAATTTTTGTTGTTATTGTATATGTTTTAAATAATTTAGTATAAATATATATATAACTATTTATATAAAAATGCATTTTGAAAATATTATTAACTATACTAATAATGTAAAAGTTATTTTTTTTTGTTATAAAAATTGTCGTAATTATAATATACACCCAAAAAAAATTTCACTAATTTTAATTTCTAGTGAAGTTTCTAAAAAAATTAATAAATTTAGAAAATATTTTCTTATATATTAAAATTAAAAAATAAATAAATAATATTTATTATATAAAATAGTAAATAATAGCAATAATACTTTTGATATTTAAAAATACAATAATTAATAATAATTATAATAATAGAGTTTGAAAATAATTTTGTTAAATGAAAATATCATTTCATAGGACTAAAATATTTTCACAAAAATGTATAAAAAATAAACTAAAATTTACTGTTTATATACTGTACAGTATATATATATATATAATTAATAATTATTACTATAATAAAGATCTACAAAATTAATTTACCCAAAAAATATATATGCATTTATCTATTCATTCATTCAATTTAATTATTTATATATATATATATGTTTTAAATAAAAATATTTATTTAAAAAATAATTTTTAAATAAAAGTTTTATTGTGATTGTACTATGAATCCAAAATCATAAAATAACATAAAAATTTAATAATTTTTAATATTATTTAAATAGTAGTGTTGTTCTATAGAAATAATTTTTATTTTTAAAAAATATATAATAAAACTTTATTATAATAATAATAATTTATTTTAAAAAAAGTTTTATTGTTTTAAAGAATTATATGTTCAACAAAAAAAATCTTTTATTTTTTAAACTTAAAACCATATTATTATAATAATACAGTATTTTGTTGTATCAGCAGTGATATACTGTATATATATATATATATATATATATATATATATATATATTACATATTGTATATAAATACATATGTATTATTTGAAAATGCATTAACTTTTTTATATTATTATTATTATTATTATATGTGAATTCAAGTCAAATAGCAATAAATAACAATATTATTATTATTATTATTATTATTATAAATATATTATATTTTATATAATATATATATATATATATTACCAACAATTTAAGGCAATATAGAAAATACATTATTTATTACAAATTCAATGCGGTATTTATAGTGAGTGAGTGATAGAGAGAGAGAGAGAGAGAGAGAGAGAGAGAGAGAGAGAGAGAGAGAGAGAGAGAGAGAGAGAGAGAGAGAGAGAGATTGACTGACATTATTGTATGTCTTTTTGGACAACACCTGAGGCTTAAAGACTTTTGATTATTATTATTATTATTACTATTATTATTCAGAAATGCCATTAAATTATACAGTAATGTAATATAAAGTTATATTTTTTGTTTGTTTGACATTTATATTTTGTAGCAGATATTTGTGTGTTTTACACATATTATATATTTAATATATATATATATATAAATGGTTTCTCATCAATAAAGTGTCAAAAATAATCATTTAATTTTTTTTTGTATATTCAATATATTATATATAAATATATATATATATATAGAGCTATAAATAAACTTTAAATGTATATTTTGAATATATATTTATAAAATAAAAAATTTAAAAATATAAATTCAGAAAACTTATCAATGAATATACAATATATTTATATATATATATATATAATATAAAAAAGCGATAACTATTTAAGATTACTGTATATCCAACAAAAAAATACTAATATATATATATAATAACTAATTATTTTATATAACCTATTATTTAACATTAAATTTGTGAACAAATCGATTAAACATTTTCTATATATATATATATATATATATATATATATATATATATACAGTATATACTGTATATGAAACCAATATATATACTGTATTATTATTGTTTATAAATGTTATTTTTGCTAATGTATTTAAAAAAGGACAGTTAGTTTTTTGAGATAATGTTACTTACTTGGAGGTGATGTCAATATAGGCACGTGAGCTGAGATCATCTGATACTAAATGTTTAGCCCTTTGAATGCCATTAGCTTTTCGGGCGTCCAATGAATATAAAGCCGTTTCGGCGTCTCCTCTGAACCATAGTATCAGATCTATTGAATCATTGAGAGGTCGACTGACATTACAGGGAAGTATAGCTTTGCCCTATAAATTGAATTACCATTAAAATAAAACAACAACAAAACCATACAATCAATTAGTATATACTATATATAATCTTATATATTATTAGTATTGCTATGAATAACAGCATTTAAATATTTGTATTAAGTGTTCAAAAAAAATACATTACACACATACACATACACATACACATACACATACACATACACATACACATACACATACACATACACATACACATACACATACACATACACATACACATACACATACACATACACATACACATACACATACACATACACATACACATACACATACACATACACATACACATACACATACACATACACATACACATACACATACACATACACATACACATACACATACACATACACATACACATACACATACACATACACATACACATACACATACACATACACATACACATACACATACACATACACATACACATACACATACACATACACATACACATACACATACACATACACATACACTGTACATACAAATGAGTATCCAATTAAGCCATTTATTATTGATGTCATATGTCATACAAATGAATGACTATTTATTTAAATAATAAATGACTTTTTTCTTTTGGTATTAATATATCAATTGATAGTATAGTATAATATAATATAATACCTGTTCTTCTGCCACCACATGTATGGCTGGTTCTGATTCTTCATCGGATAGTATAGACAACTGTATTGAATTCATTGTCTTGTGTTCACCATTTAGTGCACCTATAGATAGATAGATAGATAGATAAATATATAGTTAGATATATATAGTTAGGTATATATATAGATAGATATATAGATATATAGATAGATATATAGATAGATATATAGATAGATATATAGATAGATATATAGATAGATATATAGATAGATATATAGATAGATATATAGATAGATATATAGATAGATATATAGATAGATATATAGATAGATATATAGATAGATATATAGATAGATATATAGATAGATATATAGATAGATATATAGATAGATATATAGATAGATATATAGATAGATATATAGATAGATATATAGATAGATATATAGATAGATATATAGATAGATATATAGATAGATATATAGATATATAGATAGATATAAATACAATTTTCTATAATAAAAATCAATAGATATAATTATATATATAATATAAAAAAACTAACTGAGCCATGTAAAAAATATAATAGATTATTATATTTATTATTATTATTATGTTGAGTTACTAATTGATGATAATAATTATAAATAATTTATATATGATAAAAATAATAATAATTCATAATATAAATTATTAAATATGTATCTTATAATGTATTATATATAATTTTTTTTTGTAAAATATAATATATATTATATATAATAAAAATTGTATAAATTATATCCAATAATTTTTTTTAATGATGATATTGTTTTTTAGTTTATATAAAAAGTCACGTATAGTGTAATAAATATAGTGATTATTTAACTAATATTTTTTAGTTAATATACAATATATAATAATACAATGATTATTGATTTGATGCCAATAATAATAATACTACTAACTAATAGTAATTAATTTTTTTTTTTAAAATCATTGTTTAAAATTGTTTAATTATTATTATTATTAATATATATTTATAGTAAATATTAAAAATCAAAAAAAATATATTAATTTTTGGAAATGTTTATGAAAGGTATTATTTTTTTAATCATTATAAACTTTATTAATTTTATCAATATATATATATATATATTTAAAAACAGCTGAAAGAGAGAGAGAGAGAGAGAGAGAGAGAGAGAGAGTGATAAAAAAAATCAATCATTAAAAACAACTTTCTATTAGTTTATTCACACATTTTCAGTGTCGGTATATATACAGTATGTGTGTTGTGATGTGAAAACAATTGGTGCATAAAATTAAAATTAATTGATGCCTAAAAATTCAAAACAATTAAAACACAATGTGTATGTGTGTGTGTGTGTGTGTGAGTATGTATGTATGTATGTGTGTGTGTGTGTGTGTGTATGTATGTATGTATGTATGTGTGTGAGTGTGTATGTATGTATATGTGTGTGTATGTATGTATATATATGTCTGTGTGTGTATATATGTGTGTGTATGTATATATGTGTGTATATATGTATGTGTGTATGTATGTGTGTGTGTGTGTGTGTGTGTGAAGTAAATTAAGCAAAATAACAAAAAATACAATGGATTTCATTATATATCCATTATTTACAATATATATTATATTGTATTATAAAAAGCTATGTTTTATATATATATTATAAGATACAGTATTTTATGTTTTTTTGTTTTGTTTAAAAGATTTTATTATAATTATAATTATTTGTATATATTTTTTTTGTTGTTGTCGTCGCCAAACACACAGACCAACAAAAAAAAACATTAATAAATAAAAAAAAAATAAAACATTAGTTTAATAATACTGTAATTAAAGTGTTTAATATATTTTGTCCGTCAAATACATATGCCGTTTATTGTATTGGGAGGGGAACGGTATCATTGAAATCTATATACAGTATATATATATAGGATATATACTGTATATTATATACACTTATATTTGTTTAATAATACAAATATCAATTTTTTGTTGTTGTTGTTATCAGTAAAATAAAAAATATATAATAATAAAAAAACTTTAGGCAAATATGACAGTAAATATGTCACTAAAATATTATTATTTTTTTTTGTAATACAAATAGTTTTTACAGAATATTCTTTAATATTATTTAATACAAAAATGTAGACTAATATTATAATATATATATATATATATTATTAATAATTTAAAATGTAATTCAAGTTTGAGTTAAATTTTTTTAAAAAGTTTAAGCAAACATTTTTAAAAAATATATAATTATAAAAACATATAAAATAATTATTTCAAATTTAATTGGTTTTCACACAAATACAAACTTTATTTCTATCAAACAAAATAAAATATATAAATAATAATTTCAAATAAAATCTATATATTTATAAAACCTATTATCTATTAGAGAGACAATAAGCTTTAAATTTTATTTTATATTTTCTATCAAACAAAACACAAATAAAATAATAATAACAATGCAATTGAGTGGTCATTATATTAAATTTATATTTATATATAAAATAAAAATACTGTATATATATATATATATATATCGTATGACAAAATAATATATTATCGATTAAAATGTCAGAAAAAAAATCTTTATTTTATTTGATTTTTTTTTATTTTATATTTTTATATATCTCTACAACTAAACCCAGTGGACAGTGGACAGCATAACCTTAAAAATATATATCTATTGATATATATATCTATCTATAAGTATACCATAAAATAAAACATTGAACCGATTGAAAGTCATTTAGCACTTTCTATCATCAGTAGGCTATCTCTCTCTCTCTCTCTCTCTCTCTCTCTCTCTCTCTCTCTCTCTCTCTCTCTCTATATATATATATATATACTTATCTTTCTATCTATATATATATCTATTTATCTATCTTTCACTCATTTTGTGCCACTTTCACCCACTAATATACTCACTCACTCATTACACACACACACACACATACAAAACATTACTCTCTCTCTCTCTCTCTCTCTCTCTCTTTATTTTTTTTTTTTGCTAAACCATTGATCGGTAATAAATTTCTTTTAGTGTTTTTAATGGATATTATGTTTTACATTAAATGAAAACTAGTGAAAAAACTACTACTAGTACTACTACTACTACTACAACTACTGGTGCTAAACAATGGGAAATATATATATATATACAGTATATATATATATAAATCCTGAAAAAAGTGCCAAAAAATCTGATATATATGTGTTTTGAAAATTTTTTGTTTCGTTTGTAAAATTATGTTATACGAGACATGAAAACATTGTTCAAATGTATTGAATGACACAAACAAACACATTATATATTTTGGACGCAAAAAAAACACTTTTATCTCTCTCTCTCTCTCTCTCTCTCTCTCTCTCTCTCTCTCTCTCTCTCTCTTTATATATATATTATAAATATATATAACACATACACACAGACTGTCTGTTTCTTTATTTTTGTTTGATTTCAAATATTTCTCTCTCTCTCTCTCTCTCTCTCTCTCTCTCTCTCTCTCTCTCTCTCTCTCTCTCTCTCTCTGTTTTTACTATCAGTACTGTATATCGCATCACAAACTAATGTATCGTTTCATAGTTAGTCTCTTGTATTTACAGTACTATACTATATATATATATATATATATATATATATAAAGTATTTAGACGTTAAGTCCATAGCCATCGGCTAAAACACTGACAGTCAGAGAGAGAGAGAGAGAGAGAGAGAGAGAGAGAGAGAGAGTAATAGTAAGTCAAATGATGGCATCGGAAAGCAATTCATTTTTTTGTTGTTTTTGGTATCAGATATAGGAAACAATGTGTCGATTGAACCGGAATTACGGTACCAAACCTTACGGTTAGGATTTCTCTCTCAATATTTGAAGACATTTGAAATATACTGTATATATATATATATATCGCCTCTAAATCTCTCTCATATTATATTGAGAATAATAATAATAATAATAATAATACAAAAATAGCAATAATAATAATAATAATAATAATTGTTTATATAAAAGACATAAGGCTTAGGCAATAAATACAATAATTTTTTTGTTGTTGAGAGAGTTTTATAACAAATATTTCGTTAGAGAAATAGATATTTATATACAGAATATTCTTTATATACATACAGTATATATAGATATAAACAGTCAAAAAAATATATATAATTGCTTTTTGGTTTTGGTTATATATATATATATATATATATATATATATATATATATATATATATATGCAAAATTAGATTTCAAACTAAAATAATAGGTGAATAATAATAATAATAAATAATATAAATTTTATTAAAAATAATAAAAACGCATGATTTAGTTGTCTTTAGATATTTTATATTATACGATATAATATAAACAAAAATTTTATTATAATAATAATAATATTTATGTTGAATCATAAACTTATTGATAGGGTTGTCATCACTAGTTTTACTTAATTTTAATAAATATTTTATTATTTTATTTTGTTTTGTTTTGTGTGTAAATATAAAAACTTTATGTTCAATAAGTGCAGTTGTTTTTTGTTTTTTATTATGATTTACAATACATTTATATAATATATTTAATATATATATTGGTATTGTGCAATGAAAGTGACCCTTGATATAAAATTTTTTTTAACTAATTTTATAAAAAAGTTAATTAAGTTAGATTAATTTTATTTTCACTCTATAATACTATAACATCTCCTCATTTGTCATGAAAATTTTTAATACATTTGATAAACAACTTCCTGTGGTTTTTAATCAAAAAGCATATCGACTACCATTTAGACATCATCTGGAATTTTGATTTTTTCGATGTTAAAGGAGTGTTGTATTCATCGAAACAAATAACATTTTGATAAAGCAATATTTGATCAATATGATAATTCATAAACCGTTTTAATCAATCTTATAAATCCATTCGAATTTACTAATAAAAAAAGTTCTGGCATATTTGCACTTAATTAGCCTATTGTGTAAGAGCAAGATTATATAGTAGTTAAATAAATGACAGATATTTTTAGTAAAATGAGGTCAAATCTGTTTTAATGGTTAATAAAATCAATGACCAATATATCTCGAATTAATTTAAATTAAAACATCAAATTTAT